TTTTTTTCTGGAGAGGAGGGTTAATACAGTAGTGGTTATAGACTTATAGAGTTCCTTTTTCTGGGTCGGTAGATGAGTTTTTAGTGGAAGACAACTGACGGTATTTCATGGCATCTCGACATATCTATACCTCACTCTTGCAGGGTTCAAAAGCACCCAGAATGATTTGATCAGGGGTTCTCTTTTACCCCTTGCAATCTATCAGTTTTGGAAGTTGCTTGTATAGGTTGAGATAGAAACAGCATGGCACGAAGCATCCATGGACCAAAAAGGTGTTGTCTTACTGGCAGGTCATGATTCATGTTGCCGTATACCGTATATGTGTATACATAGAGCATCATAGAACTATGTTTACATAATGTTTTATGTAAACACTTATTCCCAAGGCTGTTCAGCATCTCATGAGGTTTTGTACTGCTTGGCTGGCTTCGAAGCCTGCCTTCTTCTTGGCTCCAGACGTCCAGGGGAAGACATTGGACGAACCAGATCCATGTGAGCCGCGTGACTTCTCCAGTCTCTTAAACCGAGAACAGCAACATGACACATGCGCTGCACTGCTCACGCTGTGCACGATGTGTCGCAAGCGGCAAGCGAAACGGTCAGAGATCAACCGAAAACAGAATATGTGGTCCCCCGACCCTGGCTGCTCAGAATTCTCTATGTAGCATGGCAACTGGTCAACGTGCATCACCTGTGCTATCGTATTTTGAGATGCAGATCATAAATGAGCATCCAGCATACCATATGTCCTGACAACAGGGCCCAGAAAGCACTTCTAGAAACAGGTGACAGTGAAATCAGCCAACGAAACTCGAAGGAAACAACGCTCTTGGTTGAAGATGACACATGGGCAAGCTTCGACAGATCCACTGGAAGCTGCTGTCGTTGGTAGCTGGGCTTTGAAACGTCGTGTTTTGTTCATGTATAACATGTTATATAATAGTATATACTTTCCAAAAGGGATCCAATGGGCCAGTGGATTGGAAAACTATTGAGGACAGATGAAGACATCAGTTGAAATACGCAGCCGCATGCATGGCTTAAACTCATGAGAGGCAGACATGGTGGACAGTTTTGGGCGTGTCGGAAGTAGCCCCCGTAGTTCAATCTGATGATAGACCAACCTCCAAACGTCGCCCCCAGAAGTCATCCAGGTAGCAGTCCAGGGGGGTTAGTAGCAGACCAGGTGGCTTGAGCGGTTCGAGTGCAGAATTCCCCAGCGCCTGGGGTGGTTGAAGAAATGGATTTCTATTTGTCGACATCTTGGTGTGCCAGTGCCAATGTAGCACCTCTGAAATCAAACTTAGCCCTAGAAGCCCAGTTCGTTCATCGACAAAAGTAATCAGAATCCACAAAAATGGGACTGAAAGACTCACTGCCCAAAAGAGATCCTGTGATAATCAGATCTCAACCTGTTGCATCGACCATATAGGACTGAAAGATGCACCGCCCAAATGACAGCATCACCCTGTGATGGTTTATCATCACCCTTCCATTTGACGGGCAAATCTGTGAGTCCCAGCATGGCATGTGTGTATTCACATCATAAAACATCACACACCATTTGGGTCAAACCAAGAAAACAGGATGACAGTGCTGCACGAAGAGGACTGGACCCACTCTCATGTCATGTCGCCAGGTGAGTGTGGAAAGTTGACGCAGGTACTGTGAGTTGACTTCCCGCACCACATGAAATCATTTATTGTTCATGTTGCCAACTTCCCGGCATGTCACAACATGAATCTTCCTTATAACCATGATTTGAAACTCACAATTCTGCACGATACACAGCGACCCTCAAACAGATTTCACATTGGAGGGTCCATGAAGTCCATGGGTACTGTGTAGAGGAAGGGTTTGATCATGGAAGTTGCGGAGTGTTTCTTGGATTTCTGCTTTGATGCTCAGATCTTGCTCGCCGCGTCCACGTGTCTTTACCTGCACAGACTTTTGGCAGACGAAGCAGGCAGGAGTCGACGGAGTCACTGGTTATGGCCAGACATGGGGGCCCTTGAGTTGCCAGCGTCGCCGTCCGGGTGTATGTGGTTGCAACACACTCTGTGTTGCAATAGGTTGTAGTGTTGGTGGTTCCGGATTCTTCTTGCACGTGATGCACCTGCTTCCTAACAAGTACCGACTCTGACTCTGACATTTCTTCAGCATCCATTTCAACGGAGTTGTTGGAAGTAGATGGGCTTAGACATGGACACACACTGTTACGACAGGTCGTAAAGAGCTTCAGACTCGAGGAATGTTGATCCAATCTTAAAGCCTTCAGACTCTCAGGCTTGAGGTTCATCCAAATCGGACACCAACAAACTATTGAACATGATCACTCAATCAATCAATCAATCAATCAAATACAATATGAATGTTGATTCTACAATTGGGTTCTTAAGTTCTTAAAAGCAACGCCTTGGGTCCTTGGGTCTTACATATCAAGCAAATCCCTTGCAAAACGCCTTGGCTTCTACATCAAAAGTCCCTCCCGCGCTTGAAGCCGCCGCCCTGCCGTTGAAAGAGAGCAAGTGCAACTGCCGGCCTCGGCATGCCGAGGCTCTTTCTGTGTCGGCACGGCCTGAGATTGGTGATTTGTTATTGTCCCGAACCCTTCAAATCCCCAAAAAGCCTTAATGGAAGACCTCGTTCTTCCAGGCTTCGTGGGTGTAAGATTCAAAGCCTTAAGGGAAGACCTCGTTTTTCCAGGCTTCGTGGGAGCAGCTATGGTGTAAGATTCCAGTCGCCAGATCCTCTCAGCCAATCCGATTTCCACCAAATGATCAAATGCTGATCCCCGTCCCCACGGTGTTTTTGGGGGCGGGACACCGGCCGGTCCTCTCTGCCCAAATCCAGGCACCGCTGGTAGCGGCTCCGCTCGGTGTGAATGGGAGCGGTGGTCTTGTGAGCTGCAAAATTCCAGTTGCGCAGACTTAAGCTGGTCGGACTGTGCAAGTGTCTTGGAAAGAAATGGAGTGCAGACTTGATTGGCATTGGTGGCTGGTATCGCTATCTGGGGAAGAGTGTGGTGTCAAGAAAAAGAACTATCGACCCATATCGATCCACAATGATCCACATACGACATACCCTTGGTAAAGGTGATTGGAGACTCTTTTATGTAGGCTTGCAGGGTCCAAGTGCCTTTTGAGAAGGTATGGTGGTCGCTAGGGCTTTATACAAGGGCATTTCATCCAAGACTGTGATTTTCAGTGTTCCTTGGAAAACGATGCGGTACCAAAACACATTCCCTGTTTCGGACATGCAGTAGCTCCTTGGATGTGGATATCAGATGTGCCAACCCGGCACAACCCAGCACACCGATACGGGACGTCCGTGTCCATGTGCCAAGCTTGGCAAACCGATTATGGGAGGTGGAACCATCTCTGAATGAATGCACCCGAAGCAAGCAATGTGTTTATAGCCGCTTCGTTGGGTTCGGGACTCTTCCATCAAGCGGTTTGGGATCCCAGATGTTTCTGCGACCCTGTGTTTCTGGGTGCGACCGGATCGCTTGGGGTCCCAATTTCAACAGCCGGATCACCAGGATGGTCCGGAGGGAACTCTTCCAGTTCCTTGTTTTTTTCTCTGGTTGATTGATGGGGATGGACCCTGAGGGTACACCATCCAGGAGGTGTACCGGGCGGCAAGACGATTTGTCGGCAACCACTGAAGCGGTTTTGGTGAGAACATGCCATACTCGACTGCATATGTAGACGGGGCCCGTGCAACAATGAGGCTGTTGACGAACCACTTGTCCCTGAGCGGCTCATGATCGAGGATGGTGCCCAACCACCTAGCCTGGGTGTCTAAACGCCAAACATCCACCTCAAGGTGCAAGGACGTCCTTCATGGATGGCACCTTCAGCTTGACAATCTCTTTTAATTGTCTTCTTTGCCTCTCCTGTCTTCCAGCTTCAGAGTGGGTTGATAGGTCAGCCTGTGTTCTCTCGACTCGGCTGGTCACGCGGCATCAAAAAACGGAACCCCAAACTCCCAGACTCTCAGGTAGTCACCAGGTAGTCCATTCCGTTCATTTTTTCTGGTCAGCCAAAGTACCCTGGCGTCATGACCCACAGTCTGATGCCTTGAGTCCCAGATGATTCGAGGTTGCAATGGCAGCTGGCTGGGCCTGGTGCTTCCCAAGACCTGGCTCCGAAAAAGTCCACCGTGCCTTTTTTGATGTGAAGAACAGATCTAACGCGATGCTTTTGGGATAGGCGCTGCGGTGAGTACAGTGTGGATGGACGATTTAGCAGAAGTTGGCCCAAAATGCTGAAAGTACTGGAGGTGGTGGGAACAAATTCCTTCTCAAGTCTTATAGTTCAAGTTTAGATTGGTGGCGTCTGTGTGTGTGTGTGCACGCTTCCAAATCGCCCGTGTGGCTTTGTTTGGATCATCACTTGGAGTGCAGACTGTTCCTTTTTTACCAGATGCTCGAATCCTGCTAAGCTGGCCATTTCTTCGTCCCATCGGTTCTCTCTTTGCGTGCGGCTGCATTGGCTGCATGATCTTGTCCTTTTATGACAGATCAACCCCATTCCCAGGTTCCGACCGACCCGATTGACCCAGTACCTTAAACAACATGCGTGACATGACCCTATCCAAAACAGGTACGACTGGGGCCTCATGTTCTGAGGTATGAAGAGGTCAACTCCACGTATTTTAAAGCAAAACCGGCAAAACCTAAAAATTATTGGATTCGATCTTTCTTGAGGCCCATCCAGAAACGCTTGTGACGGTAAAAAGTTCAGCATTGAACTGTGATGTGGTGGAACCTTTTGTATTTACAATTTTGCTGCACAGCAAGCGGAATCGGTCTTTGGACTTGATTTGTCATTCTTGTATTGACATGTTGTAACCCCGCAGAAATTGATATAAAGCACGCATTGAATCACGCACATCATATTTTGTTTGATTCATTCCTCCGACAATGCTGCAATGCTTCAAAGCTTTCTGCTTCAGTAGGATTGGATGCAGTAGAAAACCTTCAAAAGCGAGAATGAAGGCCAACAAGAGTCTAGAGATGTCTAGAGTTGAGGTAGTTCAGTATATATAAACATTCTGCTTGAAGTTTTGTTCCATTCGAGTTGCCCTTGGGTATGCCTCCAATTAGCTGAAAAGAATCCGTAAAGAGATCGTCGCACCAGCACCTGCTGGCTCAGGCTTTCCAACTGCTTCGTCACAGGTGTCTTGGCACAAGCAGCACCGGGTGTCTTGCATGTGTTTGGCGTGTTGGCTGTTGAAGCGAACCATATCAACCCCCCCCCAGGGCCCCAGGGGCCTGGAAAAGACACGGAGAGATGAGGGGGGGCTGATTGATCACCATTTTCAACATCCGTAATGTAGACGGTTGATTCATCAACCCCTCCACCTGGAGGAGCGGCCGATGCGTCCACGACGCCTGTCCAGCCTGAGGAGTCAGTGCCACTGACTCGCTTGTCCGACCCGTGGGCCAGGAACAAGCCTGTCCCATCCAAATGGGAGGACCTACAGCTTGGGAAGTCGCATCCATTTTATGACGAGAAAGGAGCTCAGCTGCAAGAGCTGCAGCGCTTACAGGCCTCTGGCCACAATGGAGGGGTTGTGCTTACTACCACAACTTGACGATCAGGTCCCTTCGAGGTGATTCTCTTCGGCAAGATCGTGGAAGCCGCTGTCAAATGTTGTGCAGAGAATAGAGATGAAAGTTTGGTCGGCCCACGACTAGCAGAAGTGGCGGTGGCGCTACCGCAACACCTGCACGCTCTGGCAAATACCAAAGAGGTCGCGCCACGTGGATCGCCGCTCCACACCATGGTGATCCTGTCCTTGACTGTGGACATCACTGGACAGAGGAGAGTGATGGATGTTGGTGACGTTGTTGCGCCAGATGTTCGGCGTGCTGGCCGCCATGCCACGTGATGAGCGATGACGAGGAGGATGATGAGCCAGCAGACCCAGGCACTACACCTTCTGGGTCCGCCAGGTCGAGAACTCCACCCCCGAAACCTATGGTCGTAAAGCCTCCTCCACAATGCATACGAGAGGATCCCTCTCAGCGGCAGCAGGCTTACGTCGAGTCCGGGCGAGTAGAGGAGTTTATACCTTTTGGGTACTTCACTACCCCACCACCAGGGCCTCCTAAGCCTCCGCCACCGCCGCCAGCGGCTCAACCACCAAAGCCTAAGCCTATGCCCGAGCGGCCACCACGATCGTCGAGCCCAGCTCCGGCCACGGCCACTCAAGAAGCATCTGGCAGAGAATCCTTAGGGATAACCTGGCACTGGCGGGGAGATGAGTGCAACAGCAGGGAGCACACTTCTATGTGCTGTCGGACGACGGGACAGGAGGAGAAGGAGCCGACGGCTTGAGGTATATTGCACTGCTCCCTTCCAAACATACAAAATAGAGTCACTCATGCGGTGCCGGTGTGTGCCCGCTTCGGCTTTAAACTCAAAGGTCCTGCTTGTGAATTCACTACGTTTGAAATCTGAACTCGTTTTGGAGTTGGACAGCAGACTCATTAGCAAATCGGAGTTTGAAGGTGCCTCGCAGTCTCCCTCGGCCTACTTCAAGGAGTATGTCCTGAGGATCCAACCGAGCATCCATGACCAGCTGACCCTCTACGGCTTCAGACATAATAAGCATCCATCTGCTGGCATGCTCAACGACGCAACGACCAGCTAGCATGGAGTGGATTCTCTTCTCGCAGGGTGCTGTGTGGGGCCAGGGACCCAAGATTCGTGGTGAAGCTGTCTCCTCCAGGCCGAAGAAAGTTTGTCCTGGTCAACTCCCGAATGGGGTGGCCACCACATTACGCACGTCTTGGCTCCTAAATGCCATTCGAGGGTTGCAAGAAATGCTTTGCTTCCACTCTCAAATTTTGCAACCTGGCCCCAGGCTGTTTATTCAACGTCGTACCATCGTCAATACCAGAGCCAGGCTTGCCCGTCTTCGTGCACCCGGTCCATAGGAGTCCTAACCTTGTCGAGGTGTCCATTGCCCTCCAATGGGCGCAAGATGCCTTGGTCCTTTGTGACATGGAGACTAAGATTCGTAGAATCCATGCTTGCAAGCCCAAAGTTCAGGCGCCTGGAAATTCATCCTGTGCCTTCATCTTCAAGCACCTCCGTCACCGTGCCAAAGATGAACCGTCCAACCTGGTCACAGACAGTCAAGGTAACACGGTCTTCGACCCACAAGGTGCATTGTGTGAGATCAATTAACCAGCAATGGGATCAGGTTTTCAGTGCCAACCAGGGCTTTCCTCACCCGCTCAAGATGCTTGAAGTGGTGTGGCCTCACATCCATAAAAATGCCATTGAACACCCAGTACCTGAGCTCACAGCACTGACCTTCAGATCACGGTCCAGGCTAGGAAGAAAGACGCGGCGCCCGGCCTTGACGGCTGGCGCACGCTTGAAATGCAGTCCTTACCAACGGATGCCTTCGAACCGTGCGCTGCCATTTTTCGACGGGTTGAAAACAAGACCCACTGCCACAGGCGTTGGCCCACAAGAACGGTAGCTCCGAGCCCTTGCAAAAGCGGCTTATCACCCTTTTGCCAGTTGTCATGTTAGCGTATACTGGTGCCAGATTCAGCCATCTCAAACAGTGGCAGATGCAAGTGATGCCCCCCCGCTTCAAAGGGGCATCCCAAGGAGGCAGATGGCAGCCATACATACTTTGCGGTCAAGATCGAGAAAGCCAAATGCTTTGATCGCATCATACCAACCTATGCCGGTGCCTTGATGCTTGCATTCGGTGTTCCCAGGCAGGTCGTAACGGTCTTTGTGAAGCTGTACGGGCAGCTCCAGAAGCGCTTATAGCCTTCAAACCTTGGTTCTCAACTCATGGTTTGAATGGGTCGCACAGGGATGCTCGCTGTCCCTGATCGCCATCAATGTCCACATGAAAGCTTGGGTTCACCTTCTTGAGGTTTTGCCGGATGTTTGTGCACAAGCCTTCATCGACGATGCCTATATTTGGACTTCATTGTCCAAGCCATCCGCATCACCGAAGAATGGGACAAAGCTTGTCGGTCAGGCCATGAATTGGACCAAATGCTCCGTACGGGGGGCTCTACCACTGCTTCGTACCCTCTTTCCGGAGATGCATTTCGTTCTCGAGCTTGAAGTGCTAGGCGTTAACATTTTGACTAGTGGGCGTAACGCCATGCATTTTGGTGAAGACAAGTTTGCCAAGATCCTTGCTGATACTAGGAACATCGCAGCGCTCCCGCTGCCTCTTTCGTGCAAAGCCAAGCTTTCACTTCTTTGGTTTCACCTTGAAGAAGGACGGCATGCTGGTGTTTAAGTCAAAACCGGTTGGTGACTTCACGCTTGTGCCCCACAAAGATGTCAGGCAAACGTTGCAGGTCCTGTCCCAGCATGAGATGTATGCCGAAACCGCTCTCTCTCTCTCCTTTCGCGTAAGGACATTGCATGCCCGTCAGGCATCCTTGACCCATTTGTCCAACTGGTTCTTGAGCCATTCCCGGTTGACGTTCGATGGTGACATTCCAGCGTCGGCCTTCTTTGAGGCCCAACCAGTTGGTTGGTTGTGTTGTTACCCGGGACCGCCTTGCCGTTGCGAACCTTGAGCCTGACTCCGCTTGTCGGCGTCGGCTTTGTGCTTCCGCCAAGGAATCCTTGCCGCATTTGGTCCGTAGCTGTCCCATTGTTACTTTGTCCGTTGCAGACTTTGACCAAAATAGGATCGTTACGCATGTTTGGACCGATGGCTCAGTTCTGTGGCCGAAGATGCTGGATATGCTGTTGTTGAGGATTCAGTCCTTGTCCTGGCAAGTGGAAGAGTTTGCCACTGGGCCTCGCACAGCTACACTGCTAAGTTCTGGGCACTCTTTGTGGCCTTTGCCAGAGCCCCTGGGCCTATCGTAGTCCATATGGATTGCCAAACATTGAAGAAACATGTTGACGCACTCTCTGCCATTGCGCCAACGTGGCCGCTATGTCTCCCTTCCGCAAGCTGTGGAGCCAACGCAGGCGTGCGCACCCTTCGCGCGTCGCCGCCGTCTGGGTCCCGTCCCGTGTGTTGGGGCGGATCCCTGAGAAAAAAATGCTTGATGAGGACATGGCGAAGGCCCATCACACAACTGTCCGTGAAATTTGTCTCAATCGAGCTGTGGATTTCGCTGCTAAAGTTTTTGAAAGAGCTGCCAATTGGATGCCTTCTGGCCAGTTTGTCAATCGCTCAAGTGGTGTGAAGAGCCACAGCAACTCATTTCGTATGCTGAGCTCGCCATTGCCTTTCAGTGCGGTGGTTTTAGGTGTAGCATTCACTCGGATGAGCATGCAACTTTTCGCCATCTTATTGTTTGGATCAAACAGGCCTTCGTCCAGGCTGCTCGATCTGACTTGTGCGTCCATCATGGCACGCGCGATGCACATCTTCATCATGCCTGGGGCAAAACGATGCCCCTTGGATCTATCACAGGTGCTTCTATCTATCTCCCTCCTGAGGCGCTTCGCTTTTTAGTTGCTGTGACGAGGCGAATTTCCAAAGCAAGCCTTGCAACGTGGGAGTTTCCCCTGGCGAATTTCAAATGTTCCTGACTTTGTTTGGCCCCTCTGGGGTCCCTCTGGGGTTGTGCAGTTGGCCTTTTCCTTGCCAATCAGTGGAAAGCTGATGGCAATGCTCGGACCGATGGATTCATCTCGAGCGCGGGAGGTAGAAAAGGCTTCACAATCCATGTCCGAGGGGTGTTGCCAATCAGTCAAGAACCTGAGTGACCTCTATGTGTGATCAACCACCCAAAAGATAACACATTAGTGTTTTGTTTTTTCTTCGGGTTGTGCACATGTGGCGGAGTTCGTTCCGGTTCCTGGAGGAATCTCTGGTCGACTTCTTCCCGGCTTCCGAGTTCGGAGCCGCCCAATGCGTGGAACCGACTCCGGGGCGGTGAAGAAAGTGAGTGCCGCCGACGAAAGGCGTTGGGAGGATGAACTCGGGGAGTCATCGGACCTGTAGCTTCTTGTTACTACCCAGACATTCCATGGGACTGCCATATATGCCGATCAGTTGGGGTGGTGCCACGGGGGTGAATGTAGGCATTATATGACATACATGGAGTGTCTGGGCTATAGTAATGCACTTGTTACTACTAGCGATGCACTTGTTACTGGCCCTGCACCTCCAGTCGTACCTCCTCAGGTAAGGTATGACTGGACCCGGGAATGGCACCCGCCCCAGTCCCACCTTCTCAGAAGGTGCGACTGGAAGCCAAACACGTAGTAGTTTTTTTTGTTTCACTACTAATCTCCGATATCCGACTCGGGGACTCGGTTGACTCGGTTGCTATGGAGGTCGCCCCCCCCTTCAGGTGAACCACTGTGTGGATCAACGGCTGAGCGAAACAGTGTCGAAAGAGGGACCAACAAATCCAGATTGGTTGGGTTGTTGGATGTTGCTGGTTTGGAATGGAATCCCCCAGTGGTCCGTCCTGGTACATGGAGTGGCGAATTGCTTCAGGTGACGACGAGATGCGTTGCCTGCCAACGCTCCTCAACTTGGCACCACCCAAGACACCCGGCTGAGCAGAACTCCGGGAAGGTCTCCGCCTTTTCCACGTTGACTGCTGAATTAGAACACCTCTGGGACTCACATGTGACCGACCTGAAATCAATGTAGGCGATGTTCCTTGCATGGAGGGTCTGTGTATGAAATACTCATCTATAACCTATCTGGATCCGAGTACCTTTCCAGAAGGTGATTGGAGACACTGTGATCTAGGTGCCAGGGACGGGTCCTGTCATACCTTCCATGACATGGAACTGCTGGGATGTCAATCCATTCGGGACACCGGGGGCTTTATGAATGTAGTCCCCATCCAGAAGTTCATGTCCAATATCGCCGTTTTGCGGAAACGTATACGTGTTTGAAGCAAGGGAGATGTAGTCTGTATCCCTTGCAACCCCCAAAAAGGTCCACAAGTATGCAGCATGCAACAATACCCAGACACTCCATGCTCCATGTATTTTTTTTAAATCTACATTGGGGTGTTGCCCGGGGGGGGCAATGGGGCGGCATGTATTCCATACATGGAACGGAGTTTATGCAACAATAGTCATTAGCAATCACTATAGGGCTCCAGATACCAGATACCTTCTGAGAAGGTGGGACTGGGGTGGGTGCCAGCCAGTCGGGTCCAGTCATACCGAACCTGAGGAGGCACCTGGAGCCCTAGGGAATAAAATATTGCACCCTCTTTGACCAAACGGTTCAGTTCCACTGGCCATTGTTCAGTTCCACTGGCCATTGTTCAGTTCCACTGGCCATGATCGTGGCACCATGACTTTCTTCATTCAAAAAGCATGACAGTCGGAGCTGGACCTGGCTCTTTCTGTTGCGCAAAACTCAGCATTGGTTCATTGAACATGGCACTTAAACATCAATTCTGCCAACAGGATTAGTGCTCCACACCTCTTAATTGGCCGTAAACCACAGGCAACTAAAGAATCGCATCTCCCGTCAACACCAAAATTTATCAGTGCATGTGCATGCAAAATCTGCCCATCCTACTGCGCAACTTGCATTTCCTATAAATGAGCACCATCCCACAGCGAAACCCGAGAACCAAACACCTTTGCGTTCGGCATGAAAAACAACATGTTTGGCCTTTCTGGTCAATCCTCAAGACAGAACTGCTTATTTTGCATTGGGCAAATTCCTGGTTGGCGTTCTTCGTGTGGGAGGTCCCATGCGAGTGGGGCCTTTGAATCAACGACGCTTTGCAACATCTGGCGGCTGAGTAGACGATGGCGAACCACTGACCAGAGTAGATTCAAAACACAAGACACAGCAGCTCGTTCGCAAGAAACCAGCTCATTTGTAAGTCCAATCTCACAAGCTTTTCTGGGAGAGAAAGATCGCCCACAAAAAGGGTCGTTTTCCAGTCGGCATCCGGCCCTTTCCAGTCGACCGGATGCCGGCCCTTTCCTCCGAATGTTCAGTAGTACGGCAAAGTAAGCAGCTCAGTATAGTATCCGACATCACCGTCTCATCTTTTCTTGAGAAAGTTGAACTCTTAAACCTTGATTGTCATGGAATCTTCACTAACGGCTTAAGGTGCGTGTTGGTTCTAATGTTTTGTTTTTGCTTGATCTTCTAATAACGGCTGTTTGCGTCTCCTTGGTCCAAACCCCCCCCCCCTTTTCCGTCCCGCGCCCATGTCTTCCGTCCCGCGCCCATGTGCCCGTGCTGTACTCGTGCGGCTTCCCGCCGTGGGACCGAGGAGCGGAACCACCGAGATCTATCAGCAGATCCAGACCATGCCGCGCGGTGTGGACGGGGAGCCACCGACCGGGGCAGGGGGAACAGACGCAGACGCAGACGGGCGCAGCCGCGGACGATGGAGCCGTTGGTGGATTTGGAGAGGCTTCCAGCGCCGACATGACTGGTGGGCTAGGGGGGTGGTGTTCTTCCTGACTTTGCTTAGAAGGACTAGAAGGAATACTTTTGACTTTCCCATATAAACCTGGGGCATGTTTTTTGTGTTTCTCCCGGTTGCTGGACAGCAACTTCAAGTGGAGAAGCAGCAGTCAGGTTTCCAGGTTCCAGGACCGGGCTATCATTCCCTAGGGCTCCTGGCCCACCTGAGAAGATGCTTGGGGTGGATGCCAGGGGCGTCTAACCACCTGAGGAGATGGGCCAGGAGTCCTAGGGTATCAGATCTGCATAGTTTCTGAAAAGATGGGCCAGGAGCCCTATAGGGATTCGACATCTCTAGCCTTGAATAGGCACTGGAAGATGAAATTGTAGTCATTCCCACCAGGACCTTCAAGGGGTGTCCAAAGCAAATCCCTAAGTAGTGTAGGGGCTTCCATTCGGGACCCTTTGGAAGGTGCTGGTGTATGTTGTTTCATGTTGTGTGTTTGTTGTTCTAGCTGTATTACACACCCATCTCTCATAACACCACTCTTCCAATCTTCTCACCACACCCAGCGAATCCCCTTATGGTTCGATCATGCACTTTTATAATTCTTCCAGGACCGACAGGTCCTTTGACTACCTGTCTTTCGCCCATCCCGTGGAAGTCCGGTGGAACTCCTTCCGGTGGAGCTCCTGTTGTTGGGGTCCCCTTTTTTTGGAGCCGAACCGAATGGAGGGTCCTGGTAGAGGTTTCTATAGGGGTTTCAACATGTTTCAACCATACCAGGACCCGAAAGGTGTGAAGAAATCAATGATGATGGTCTTTAAAAATAACATCGAAAACATCTGGGAAACCGGCTCCAGCGTCGAATGACCTGGGTTGCCATCCGAACGACCAGGATGGGCGACGGATTCAACTCACCAGTAGACCGTGTTCATAGGCCTTTCATCCCGGTGTTTTTACCTGTTTGTCTTTACCGGGTGTCGGGGGTCCACCTTCTGAGGATGTGGGCCAGGAGATGCCAGGAGCCATTGGAGCCCTAGGGATACAAATTGACACTATAAAACCACACATTCTTGTTAACAGTCTTGGAAGGTTAGGGGGAGTGTTCAGTGCAGCACTTCAAGTGGTGCTTGTTCAGCTAAGATGGCAGCTGATGGAATTCCGCTTGAATTCGTGCTGAAAAACACTGAAAGAGACCTAGCGCATCCGTGGAGGATTTTGCGCATTCCAGGACTCCGACCATTCGAGATTTCCAAGTTTTGGATTAATCATGATTAAACCACATTAAACCATTGCCATGCATGTCTAGACCATCCAATGGATGTCCAATGGACTACCCTGCGCCTCTTGGGGATCTCTGTTGGGCACCCAGAAACAGGATGGTCCAGGTGCTCATGTTGCCACAGAGAAGCTTGGTTTCAAAAGGTCTACGACATAGACGGACCCAACAGCTGGTGGGTCACCTTTGGAACCCCCAGAAGCATTTGGGGGTCACCTGGGCCCCCGAACTTGTTCCGGAAGACACAGGAAGTCCCAAGTCGAACGGTGGGCCTTCAGCCAGACCGCTGATCCTCCAGCTCACCTGCCACTGTCGTTCCGTCCGAAACACCGAGGCCAGAGGTGATCTCGGCCGCACCGGCCGAGCCCTCGTCGCTCTGCCGCGGCCGCAGCGCGTTTTGGTGCTCTAAGGACCAGAAGATGCGGTCAGGTAGACTCCCTATACACCTCCAGGAGGTTACCTCCTCAGGTTTGGTAGGACTGGACCCGACGTAGAATGGCACCCGGACCCCGGTCGTCCCACTGAAACGAAACGAGTTCGTACGAGTGGCGGCCGAAGGGGCTCACAAGACCCAACCAATGGAAGATCTGATGTGTCTTGGACCGGTCCTGAGGTGGCCTCTTAGAGGTCAGGCCTGGTGTCCCCAACACCACCGGGCGAACGGGTACGGTGCTGGTCGGGAGGGTTTTGTACCCTGATGGTTTGGAGCTGGAGGAATTCAACGTCTCATGGACGGTGGGATGGCTTACATGGCGGTACCCAACCTTGCCTACTTGCCGCCTTCAAACGGGTTTCAAAACGACAGGGGGCCGACCTATCTTGGTAGGCCTTTAGGGTTCCACCATGTTCCACACATCTAAAGGCCATTGATCCTTGGTGTGACCGATTCATGACGCCCGAAGTAGAGCCTAAACCGCGAGATTCCAAACCCAGACACCTGGGACTGGCACAGATATCATCATTACACCTGCACAGGTGGTTTTCAAGAGTCAAGTAAAGGTAAAATGCCATACAGGACCTTCCCAGTGACCTGTTTAGGGTTCGCAAGCAGCCTTTTGCAGACCTGTTCGTGACCTCAGCCACTGGAATCTCATGAAATAGGTCACTGGGAAGGTCCTGGCATGGAATGTTTGGAAATCCCAGTACGCTGAAACGACCCAGTCACCCAGTCACGCACGGACAAACACCAGTATAGGACCCAGTGAGGCCTACTCTTCCGGATCCAACCACAGAGGTCACACTTGGCCCTCAAACACCACAATATCCTACTAGCGATGGCCTTCAACCTACTAGCGATGGTCTCCAACCTACTATATATCATCAATTCATACCCATACACTCCATGTATATATGCCTACATTGGGGTGGTTTGGGGGGGTCAATGTAGGCATATATGGCATACATGGAGCGTTTGGGATATGGACATCCTGAAACGTCCTGTACATCTCGAGCCACGAATCGAACGCTGGAACTCCCCAGGAGCCTTCCTTCTGGCACGCTCCACGGAGTGCTGCATCACTTCAGGCCCCTCTCTCAACTGACCTGGTGATCAGCGGATCAACGCGATGGTGTTTATGTTTTCCAGTTCCTGGGTGAATCCCCCAGAAGGGGGAATTGTTGGTTCCCGGTTCCGGTGAGTCCCAGCTGGGGTCCGGTGACGGACAAGCCAACTCGCAGAGGGGGGTCCAGTGACGGTGGACGTCTCGTCGGACGTCGTTGGACGGAGTGAGTCGCGCAGTTCGTCGCTGGACCCGAAACGCGAGTTGTTGCGTGGCACCGAACAAAGCGATGAAGAAAGTCTCATGCAGCACAAAGGATTTCATGAACATCATACAGTCTAGTTTTTGCTGCGAAGACCTCATCGTTTGTAACAAAAAACAATGCTTCAAAACGGTCTTTGCTGGCATAGGAGAGGAATACTCGAATTGGGGTTCTCGGGAAAATGATAGAACATGCATCTGGGACAATTGGGCAAAACCGGATGGCAAGAATATCATCAAGATCCAGAGTTCTAGCCCTGAAACTGAACCCTACACCTCCAAGTACCTCCTCAGAAGGTATTTGGACCCTCTTGGCGCCCACCCCAGTCCCACCTTCTCAGAAGGTACTTGGAGGCCTAGGAGAAGAAAGCACGCCATCCATCATCCCTTTTGCCTATGCACATACTGGGAACAAGAAGCTACTAGTAGCAAAGGGCATTGCTACAAGGAGCAAGGACGCTGCTAGGTGCTCCTGGCTACAACAAGAAGCTATTAGGAGCAAGGGCATTGCTACCAATAACAAAGGGCATTACTACCAGTAGCATTCTTGCTAGGTAACAAGAATGCTACGAACGGGGCTCCTGGCCTGACTACTATAGGAGCGTTCGGACGCTACGAACGGGGCTCCTGGCATCCGCCCGCTACAACCGGAACCCACTCTTCTCTCGGTCGACCTGGTTTTCTGCGGACCGCCGTCGCGTCGGATCCCCCGGTTCGACTCCACCGAGCCCTAGCGTCCTTGTGACGTTCCGTCGAATTCTTGCTACGTAGCGATGGCCTCCACTCTACGGAGCGGCCTTCACCGAGCCATAGCGTCCTTGTAGTAGTCTGGTTCGACTCTCCTTTTCCAAGTGGCGAAGGATTCAGGAATGCCTACCCAGGAAGTACGTGGACAGCCTGCCGGTCACCTTTCTTGAATTGGGGAGTGTCCCCACTAAACAGGTCGAAAGTTCAGTTAACCGGTAACCTTAACAGGTCGAGACTCGCTCCGACCGCTGAACTCTCATGAACCGCTCCGGTCGACCGACTGGACGAGACGGGGTCATCCTGCAAGGAGTACACCTTGATGTACCAGCCTTTGACAGAGAAGTTGCAAGGAGGATCACTGAGCGCGACTACAGCCGCGCGCGTGGCTGTCGCGAGAAGCCGCGCTGGCTGTGCAGGGAGAGAAGCAGAAGCATCGTTCAGCAGCTCAATTCTCCACGTGAACTGAATGAGGGTGGCTGTTTTGAGGGTTGACTCGGAACAATTGCGAAGACCTTGCGCACGTGAAGAAAATCATCAGTTGGAACCCTGATGGCCCGGGTTTGTGTTGGATCCTGATTACAAAAGAGATCCTCCATAATGCAACTCTTTCCAACCCCATGTTTGTTTTAAGGGTCCTCTATTATGCTAAATTTATTGGTGCCACTTGCGCCCCCCCTCCCTTCTAGTCTTATAGGGTTCTCTAGTTCTTGTTCAAAACTGACAGCTTTCCAAAGCCATCAATTCCTTAATCAATCCTGTAGGTAAAGATTGCTCCTGCACAAATGTTCATGGGAAGGCCCCTGATCGTCAATAAATAGATTGGTTAAGCTTCCTTAATTGTGCAAAATTGTTTCATAGATACTCTGTCGTACTTCCTTGTGCTTCATCAATCCAAGGAGTGACAAATTGTTTGTTTGTTTGTTTGTCACCAATCCTTTGGTGCAGCGCTCACACTCAAGGCACCCTTGCTGCTGTCTCTCTTCTCACTCTCCACCTCGCGCCTGTTTGCCCACCTTGGCAAGGTGCTCCTCAGCAACTTGCAATCTTTCAGACCATCCATAGCCCACGTCGGCAATCTTCTGCGGGTGGGGCAAAACGAGGAATCCAGGTCAGAGGAAGTTGATATCCAACGCTGCGAAGACCCGATATTCCAAAACGGCGGTCTTCACAAGACAGACTGTGCACATCATCTCTTCAAACGGCAGCTTCCAAGTGTGGTGATGTTAACATCTCATTAGTAAACCGCCCCCCCTATGATTTTTTTGTTGGGGGGGTAGTCAAAAACCTGAACCGTAATAACAATAAAACTCTCCAGGCCATTTGGCAGAGGGGATAGTAGTAGTAGTAGTACTACTACTACTACGACGACTACTACTAGCTGCTTTCATTCTGCTTGCATTTGCTTTCATTCTGCTTGCATTTGCTTTCATTCTGCTTGCATTTGCTTTCATGCTGCTTGCATTTGCTTTCATTTTGCTTTCATTCTGCTTGCATTTGCTTTCATTATGCTTTCATGTTGCTTTCATTTTGCTTTCATTCTGAAAGCACTTTGATATCTGTCGTTAGAAAGACAATATATTCGATCGTTAGCTATGGACTCATTGACGTGCTGGACTCTTGATATCTTACTTCATAATAGGGCACCCCGTTTCCAATCCAGACCTATTATATATACATCGATCCACGAAAGGCAGGGAAACAACAACTCGCGAATCATGTGCTTGTCTCAATATGTCTTTTTCAAAAGGCCAACAATTTTTTTATTTTTTCCGGGGTGGACCTGCACTACCACACTACCCCCCTGAGAAGCTACTCCTACGACTGGACGGTGCATGACACCCCCGCAGGAAGCGGATCATCGACCATCGCAGTGGACTGGTCTCCATTGAACTATGCCCCTGGACGCATCAGCGGCGAAGTGTGGCGTGTGGTGTGCGTTCGGTGGGAGTTTTCAGCTAAGTTTTGTCTCAGATCGATGGGCTTGTGACAGCCGGTGTGGAACATCTGGAGATTACAGATCATGTTGGATATCTCAAAATGCCGCAAATCGATCTATATCAGGGTGAAAACCATGTCGACTGAACGGTCGACTGAACGGTTGCATGTCAGCTCCGCCGCACAAACCATTTGGATCCGGGTGCGTCGCAAGCACCCTCCAAAAGCCCTCCACAAGAACCTCTCTGCCCACTCCACACTACCCAAGAACAGTGGATCGCCTGCCCAGACTTGGTGGCACCCCTCTGAATATGAACACTTGAAAAGGGTTGTAATAACATTACCCAAAGGCTCATTGGACCCTCATAGCCAGGGTTTTGACCCTCACAGCCAGGGTTTTGGACCGAACCAACACGTAGCAGTTTGAGGGTCCAGGGTCGCCTCTGGGTAATAACTCACAAAGTCAGCCACCTGACCTGAGTGGTTCACAAATGTCATTTCCGGAGATTCACCTGACCTGTTCAGGCCACCGGATGAACCGTCGAGACCACAAACACGTATTTTCATGTTATTTTCAATGCAAAAGAAACACGTATGTTAACCGTCCTTAATATATACTTTATATAGCTATGTATAGTAGCAAGGTGCATCCCTACGAACGTAGCAAGGGCCTTTTCGCGTTTCGAACCTAACTGCCACCGGTGGTTCGGCTGCCCAGGAAGCGAATCCTTACCTCCTTGGGCGCTTCGTGGGACCCGCGGCGCGCTTCGTGGCCTTCCTGCGGAATCCCGTCCAACGAGCCGAGTCAGAGCTTTGGACCGAGTGCCGGGCGAGCACGAGCTGGTGGTTCGGCGGGGTGGAGCGGGCCCATGCGGGCCCTGGGCTTGGGGCGTTGGGAGCTTGTGGAGGCAAGAAGACCCGGAAGCTACCAGCTTCCAGTCCAGGTCACCTGGCTGGACAAGCCAGCCCACGACGTAAAGAGGTCTCCTACTCCAGGGCACCCAGACAGGAAGTGGATAGGAATGATAAGAGCTTTCACCTGGATGTTGAACAGAAAACAGAAGACGACTTTATATGGATTTAAAACAACAACTGAAAAACATGTAAAAACAAAGAAACCTTTACATACCAGCAGTCACATGTCGGGGTGCCGAACTTGGAGAATAGGGGTATCCATTATCCACTCACTTAGGGACTAAAAACCACCCCTTTGTGACTTCTGGTAACTTTACTTTGTTTGCGTTAATCCCTAGGGATCCAAGTACCTTCTCAGAAGGTGATTGGAGACACTGTTATGTAGGTGCCAGGAGGGTCCAGTCGTACCTTCTGAGGTTCGGTACGACTGGATCCCTATATAATAGGGTTTGTTTACCCGCATCAATGGGGGTTCTTTTTCTTCCCTCCGCTTTTCCACCCTGAGCTTCCGGGATCCAAAAAGGGGGGCCGACCCTGACACGGTGTTTTTGAGGTGAACCATCCCAGACACGACTGCATGCGACTGGTAGTGGGACTGGTATATTGACCGATCAGTTGGGGTGGTGGTTTGGGGGGGTCAATGTTAACAAATTCCAGTCCCATGGAGTGTGTGGGCATGGCGAAGCCAAATTCTCATGATTCTTCAGGAGTTTAACGTTTGGGTTGAATTTTTTGGGTGTCCTATTGCCTGCAACGTTTGGGTTGAATTTGGGGGGGTGTCCTATTGCCTGTAACGTTTGGGTTGAATTTCAGGGGGTCCTAGTAAAGCTGTAACAGTACTGAGAGGGGTTACTGAGATCCCTACTGAGATTCCTATTGGTTTGGGGACGTCCCAGGTTTGACCTGCAACAGCACCTGGTTTCACCAGAACATGGCCTGTAGCCTGGCCCCATCCATCATCCGGTGACTGGCAATAGGATATACTCTTCCTGGAACTAACATGGTTACGTGGATTTCACCACCTCTTGGTGGATTTCAGGGTCTTCCGAACTGGCCAGGGGCGCCATCCACGTAACCATGGGGCCGTTCCAGGGAGTGAATCTACAGTGCACAGCGGATCCAGTCGTAACCTCTTCTTCGGCACGAGGCACCCTCCAAACCCCACCCCCGGGCCCCGCAAACAGCACGGAAACGAAACGATGCGGTGGTGTCCTGGATCCCTATAGAGACACCCGGTGTCCTTTTGCTTCTGACTCACTGTTTTGCATTGAGAACCTGATGCATTTACAGCCCAAATCGGCCATCATCAGCCCCTGGGGCTTTGTTTGAAGCGTCCAAGTACTAGGCTCAGGTGGTTCTACTGAAAATGTGGTCCCTAAATATAGATAGTGGCGCGGTATCCAATACATATAGTATAGTGGGTATCTACGAACTTCTATCTATTTCAAATTCTATATCTTTCCCTTCTTATCCTAGGCCTCCAAGTACCTTCGTTTCGAAGGTGGGACTGGGCGCTCGGGTGCCATTCAGTCATACTGAACCTGAGGAGGTAACCTCCTGGAGGCGTAGGGTCTACGTGGTTTGTCACTGAGTTTGTGCTAAACTGAACTCATCAGGTTGGTGGTCCTTGATCACCCCGCTGAAAGGAAAGGTTTTCACTGTTTCTTTAACCGATGGCCTGCCACCATCGGTTGGTGTTACGGGTAAAACACCGAAGGACCGTTGTTAGACGTATTTGAGACGACTTTCGACCAGGTCGACCGAACTCTTTAGACAGGTCCAACGGAAGGCAACCGGGGTTTGGATTCTTGCATCTGAAGCCAGGACTACAATTGGTCCATTTACACCGTGGGATTGAGCTGCACAGCCTCCAAGAAGAAGATACAAAGCCCCGGCAGCTCCAGTGGTAGCTCCCAGGCCATGCATAAGCCTCTTGGTCGAACCGTTCATGTCCTCCGAATACCCTACCCAGGGAAGTGGATAACGTTTAGACTTTAAACTCGTTCAACCTTTTTTTGGTTGTTCCCGAGTGTGTGTGTGTGTGTGTGTCTCATGTTTTTTTTTGGGGGGGGGGGGCTAGTTTGCCCACTCAAATGAATGGGTACAAAATGGTTAAACGCCTTGTTTGTTTGTTCGGGGAAACTGAGAGGGTAAGTGAATAAACCACAACCACATATACCAGGACCTGAGCCGTTCGTGACCTCTGACTGGAGTCTTTGTTTGTGAGCTCTGACTGGAGTGTCTAAGTGACCTCATTCTACGATTTCAAGTTATAGGTCACGTACTGAAGGTCCTGGTAGATGGTCATGGTGAATAGACCGTTGAAGGGGGTTCCTGGATCGTCTTTGTCTTTTTTGGGGGGGGCAGGAAGTTGAAGAAATGCTTTGCGTGACACAGCTGGGTAGAAAGGGTTCCAGCTGATGAGAGACCACTCATTCAATTGTCAGAGGTCGCATCTCATTCGGCGCCACCTCAGATCCCATACACCCCATGAGACTGCCATGTCAGACTGCCGCCCCAGACTCGACCCCTGTGGCACCACCCCGATCGGCCGGAACTCTCGGCAGTCCGGAGCTGGCAGTCCCATGCCGTCGCGTCTGGGGATGAGACCACCAGATAGACCACCTCTGTCAGACGAGCTCCAACGCCGGACACGGGTTGTCCGGACATCGGTCGAGTGAATCGAGGAGGTGGCTGGCGATTCAGTCGTTCAACTCGGTGTGTCCATGGAACTCGAACCACTGGTGAACAACTACGCAGACACTCATGGAGGGGCCGTACCCTCATATGGAGGGGTCCGGATAGAACCAATCCCAATGGTTTTGAGGGACCAAGGACTGTTTGGAGCGTCTGGGTACTAACCCTATAGACCTCCCTCCTGGTGACCGAACCTTTTGTCGCTTCGGTATGACTGGACTCAGGTTCGCTGGTACGTGGGCCCCGGTCGTCGCAAACGAAACGAGTTACGAGTTCGTACCGTACTTGGAGGCCTAGCTAGGGATCACTGAGATCATGACAAAACACTGAGATCTAAGACACTCCTCTTGACTACGGCGACTACGGCTGTGGAAGCCGACGGCTCCGCTAGAAAACCTCAGACTGAAAACGGGTGACCCTTCGGGTGACTCGACGGCGATCCCGAACGTGAAAGGCTGGGTTCCCCCCCCGGCTGCCGCTCCAAAAACCATGAAAAGAATGGGAACTGACCTGGCCCGTGTAGTGCAGAAAGAGGTAAACATCCTTGGTACAGAAATTGGGTTCTTTTGGTAAAGACCATGAAATCCTAGGGGTTCATCATCATCACCGTTCAAACCCAGAAAAAAAGAACCGTTCTCAAGAACTCAATCAGACTCATTCATTCCCCCAAAGAAACAAACATCATGCCCTGCAGTGAACTGTTTCCGAACCTCTCACCTCCTCAACCGAGGCTCTTCGCCTCTTCCGTGAAGGACTTCACCACCTGCGCCGCCACCTCCTCGCCGCTCCGGTGCTGGCGCCGTGGGGCGCCAGCGCGCGAGCTCAACTGTCGCACCTTCCGAGAGAGCTCCGCCTACGTTGCTTAGAGTAGCAGATGGCGTGAGGGTTGGCGTGAGGGTCGGCGTGAGGGTTGGCGGGTTGGCATGGACCAGGTCGGGAAGGACAGCGATGCGGAATGACTAGGATGTGATGTGGCTGACCCCCAAAGCACATGTGGGTCCGGGACTAGTTTCAAAGGCACCTCATATCGATTCTGGTCTGTTTGAGGGACCGTCTGACTCCGGAAGTGAAGTCGACAATGGATCCCCTGAGGTTTCTTTTCCCGAACTGGGCCAATCCCCTTCTTGCGAATACCTTGGGAGTCCAAGACCATTTTTAAAACGGTCTTTCGGTGATCCGAAAAGGAACTTCCTTTGGGTGGTGCCTAAAATAGTCTTTGGACTTCTAGGGACTATGTTACATCCGGACCCTCAAACACATAGGGTTTTGAGGGCCCGGACCCCTGCTATGGAGGGTCCGACCCCTGCCATGGAGAGCCCAAGGATTCTTAGGGTAACTATTGTTTCCAGGTTCCTTCATGCAAGACATCGATCCTTGAACGAGTGTGTGAAAGACTTTTCGGATTCTGGTCGGTGGCTGTTCTATTCCAGGACTGCCGTTCGCTTGGAGAACTGGGTCACTGGTAGGTGTTGAGTTCTACAACATATTGTTCGTTCATTTTTTTTCCGCACGAAAAGCACTAACGGGAAAAGACGTGAAGCCCCACCTACACCGTGAGTTTCTGCACCGCTCCACGGTGAGACTGCCGACGTGTTCGGGAAAAGAACCAGGTCCTTCGAGGCCTCTATAGTCGCTTGGCTTTCGTCCGGACTTGAAGATGGCGGAAAGAGAAGCTGCATGCCCCTATGCCACACCAAGAGATTCTTGCGATCGACCTTGGCAGTTTGCTTTCAGACATCCCCTATTTAGAGGTTGTGTTTCGTTCAATGTGTCCATTGACCATCTTCATGTGTTACTGATCTATAAGTAGCCAAGCTGCAGTTCGCATGTCCCAGTTCGCAGACACCACCTAGCCCTACACCTCCAGGAGGTGACCAAACCGTTTCGGTTCGGTCTGACTGGACACCGAAACGAAACAAAGAGACGACTGGAGCCACGAAACAGTCCCACCGAAAACCAGTCCCAGCATCCATGGGACTGGCATAGATTTACGAAACCACCTCAATTGGGTAGGTAATGGTAGGTATATCTTCACAGTGACCGGTCACTTGATCCCCTGGTTGGTTCCGTCACTGATATATGGCGTGTTGCTCAGGTCACTGATGGGGACTCCAACAGAAGGTCACTGGGAAGGTCCTGGAAGGTAGGTATATCTTCCAGTCCCATTAGTCGTGTTTGGGCTACCTCCGTGATCGCTTCGTCTGGTGCCCAGAAGCCCGGGTGGCCTCGGTTTAGCGGTGGCCTAGGTGTTTTTTTTTTGGAACTGGGTCAATCCCCAAAGCCGGGGCCTATGTTCTTCCAGGTTCCGCAAATCCAGGTGGGTCTAACCAGGTCTAAGTACCTTCCCTATATGGAATTACATGCCCTTTGAGAAGGTGATTTCGAGGCGCTTTGATGTAGGCGCCAACAGGTTCCAGTACCTTCTGGCGAGCTAAGGTAGCAGTGGATCATAGTGGATCATCCAGGTTTTGGAGGATGTGGGGACAGGTTCCTTAAGGGATGGATTGGGGAATGAATCAGTGATACCAGGCAAGTTGCAGAACGAGATCTTCCTTGGTCACCTGAGAACCGTTGGTCTCGTCCAGTCTGGACACCGCCCGGGCCCCTTGACCTCCCTAGCAGAGAAGGAACGCACGCTCCACGAGATCCCTTCGCACCACGAGTGGAGGTGGAGCTGGTGAGATCGTGCCCGTTCACGGACCTCGCCGTCTCCGTTCGACCGCGAAAGGGAACGACCAACGCCTCCCGACTGCCAGAGGACTGCCGATCAATTGACCCCCCCTGGCACCAGCCCTGGGGTCAATTGATCGGCAGTCCTATATGGCAGTCCCAGACAGGTCGTGTCTAGGAGCTGGTTCTTTGAGACGAAAAGACCGCTAAATCAAACAACATGGTGGCTGGTCCAACCGCTCGGGCTGGAGAAAGACCGCTGGGGTGGCACGAAAGAACCCTACTAGTTCCGTTTTGACGGGGTCCAACCCATCGTAGTGTATCCGATGTCGAGGTGTTTACCTCAGCAGCTTCTTGGAGGTGTTTCCTGGGCAGCTGCTGGTGGCACGGGCAGCGTCTTGGTGCACCAAATGAAGAGTTGACGTCACAAGTGGTTCAAGTAGGGATGGGTAGCATCAAAGACCTGGAGTTAGGGATGGAAGGACTTCAGCAACATCTCAAGATGAAGAACAAAACAACGTAAAATAAAACTCTCATTAGAAAACAACAACAATGACAAAAACAAGTAAAAACATGTAAAACCAAGAAACACTGGACAGCAGGACTCTATGCGTGTGTGTGTGTGTGTGTGTGTGCGCGAGTGTTTTCCAGTGTTTTGTGTTTTTGTGTTGTGTTGTTGGACTGTTTAGCGGCAATGATCACTGGAAAACACACACCCGTCTAGACTAGCGTCCTTCTCACCTTCTCTGAAAAAAATATAGTACCAAGCATACCTGGACCTTCCAGCTACCACAAAATATGGTCGTTTTTGTTTTATGGTCGTTTCGTTTGTATTGCTTTTTTTTTGCAGATGTTTTGTTTGCGTTCATTTGTGTTAATTTGTGGTTGTTTTGCCGTCCTACCAATGTTGGTCCTTTGAAGATCCAGGCAAGTAATATTGTGTTGTTCATTTCTAAACATCCCTAGGCCTCCAGTTGTACCGGGTGCCCGGGTGCCATTCTACGTCGGGTCCAGTCACACCGAAGCTGAGGAGGTCTCCTGCTGGAGGCGTTTTCGGGCATATGACAACGTTTCCATCGCGTTCCACATCACCACAGGTTCCCATGTACCACCACATCACGGTTGTACCGAGGAGTCCCTCACTTGGCCCCGCTTGGCTGCTCTCCTGGGCGCCACGCTGGCACCGCGCCCAACGACGGCGACGCTGGCGCCGTTTCGAGGGAAGCACCAGGCGACCGGGGTCGGTCCACCGGAGCGTAGAAAGCGGTGAGCAGGAGTTGCGAGGGCAAGCGATGACCCGGGTGTGACCAGGTGTTCTTCACGAAGAGGACGATCAATTCCGAGGTTCTGAGCGCGGAGCGCGGAGAATTCACGATGTTTTGTTGTTTTTTTTGACGTGACAGAGTTGTTCTCGTCAGAGAAGACCACCTGTGATGCGTATTAAATATGCAAAAATCAAGGGGACTCTCAGCCTGGATTCTTAAAGAGTTCACCTACCTGCCTGATTGCCAGAGTCAGATTTTAAGGGTCAGATAATCAGCCTGTTGGATAGTCAGGTTGAAAAGTTGAAAAAGACTGTAAATTTGATTTTCATTGGTCAGGATTCTTTTTGTTCCACAACTCCAGGGGGGTTTTGCTTCTCTTCCGTGCCTGCCTTCGCACGCAGGTGCACCTGCTGCCCGAGACCCAGCAGCTGTTGAAAAGCTTCTATGCTCCCTATGTCCTGGAGCTCCAACACATGTTCAACGACGCTTACTAACGGACGGACGGGGAGGTGGATGGAGATGGGTTTCCCCGTGCTTGGTGGATCTTTCAAACGGGAAGGAACAGGACCTTGTTTTCCCACCACATATGGCAGGTCAACCGGCCAGGGAGAAACGGGCAACGGTTACGTGTGTTTGGACCCACAGCCAAGTGAATGCTTCCCCACTGCGCGGAACCCGATGTAACCCAAATCTGAAGCGGAACCACTGAAACAGTTCACCGAAACCCAGCCACCCCCTCACTGGAACTCCCAGTAGAACTCCCATAACCTCTCGTGGTGCTTTTGTGGGTGTTGCCGAATCAATAGGGCTGTATGGATTTTCAAGAAGTCCCTTTTGAAGCATATATGATTTGTATACCTGGAGTTTTTAAAAGAAGAACGATAACATGGGACACAACCCCCCCAAAGAGCAGGTGCTTGAACAAAATTTCCTAAACATGTTGCCCGAAAGAAGGGGAGTTTGTCACTGTGAAAGGATCTAGTTGAGATACAGACCAACGCCAAGTCCACGAGCTTGTTCATGGCTTTTCTTTGGGCGATTGTTCTGAGAATTCCTGGTGCAGTAGCCAGAGTACTTGTATTGGACTTCGTTTGTTTAGAGCATCACGACCTCCAAGCTATGCAAGGAACCACTGGATCCATGAAACAAAATAGACCAAACATATCCAAACATCTTGGAACTCTTGGTTCTATTGATTGCTGTCGAGCCTTCCTTTGAGCCTTCCTTCTGAATGTTGTCTTGGGCTATGTGAAAGAAGGCCATGAAGGCTCGCTCCTTCTTTTCACCCCTTCAAACAATCCACCAATTCCGCGGCTCCCTCTCCATTCCGCGTGCCTCCATTCCGCCGGCCTCCTCGATGCGAGCATTCATCCGCGTCGGATCACGTCACGGCGAAGTCCGCGGCGAAGTCCGCCTGGCACGTGCTCCGAGGATTCGACGCTTTCGTGGTGGTGAAGGCCGTGCGACACCTGGTGCATCACTCCACCGAGCGGTCACTTCTCCTGGACGAAGCGAAGCGAAGAACGGTCTTCGGGTGTCTCGGTTCGATGCAAAATCGAAGAGGAGCAAGCTGGGTAGGTTTTTCTTGGTGAAAGGGAAGACAAGTTTCAATGAATCCAGAATCCATATATGGATTTGTTATATGATTAGTTTACCTGCATTAGGATCATTATAGTAGGGTGACTTTAAGATGTTTTTAGAAGTCAATGTAGGTGAATAGTCCAGTTCCATGGAGTATTTGGGCATAGCCATTGGACTTGTTTGTTTGAACCCCCAGGTCAAGCACCCCTCTGTTTTCCCGATCGGTCAATAGATGCCAGCCGGTGTGGTGTTGGGGTAACTTCCTAGAAATCCAGTCCCAACCTGGCTTTGGAATAGGGAAGGACTTCTTCACAGTGCTCACCTAGGGGCTAAAAACTTTGGAATAGGGAGAGACTACTTCACACCCTGGCTGGGTGTGCCACAATGGGTGTGCTTGGAGGATAGGTGTGCTCACTTAGGAACGAAGCAAACCACCCCATCGTGACTCCTGGTGCTTCGTCGCTTGGTTTCTGGTCGGTTTCCAGGGTTTCCACGGAGTGACTTTGGCCTACCAGGCAATTACCCGGGAGTTAGGCCCATGCAGAGCCAACCTGGGACCGATCGAGAGTCCGGCTGACCAGGGCCCATATAATACGACCTTTTTCAGCATGAATCACATGGGGTCAAGGGCCCAATCAGATTCGATGAGGATGATTTTGGAGCAGGATTTGTCCAGAGCATGGTTGCTTTTAACATAAAATAGTGTTTAGTTCATTGGAATACCTTTAGAGCTCCCATGATATTTGCAAGCAAGCCGCTTCTTTTCCACATGTGTCGGTCACGTCCCACGTTCGTCCTGTCTTCAAAAGGGGGCACTTCTGAGGTCGCGGACGACTCCGTTGGATTCCACGGCCGTCTGAGAGCGTCTGAGATCGGTCGATAGACACGTAGAGAGCGTCGTCAGGTCGGCCTGGAGAGTGAAATCCATATGGGCCTGGCCCTTCCAGTACCGGAGGTACTTAGGATCACATCCGGGGCTGGTGAACACTCATCCCATCCACATGAGGATCGGGCAGTGCCAGCCAGCCCGCGTGTGGCGAAGAAAAGACAGATCGCAGCAGGTTTGGGCAGACTGCGGATCGGAATGGGCGAAACAGTTTGGGGCAGACACCCTTGAAGTCAAAGACTACGTGGATCTTCCACATGTGCAACAAATTCTGCCTTATCTTATATATATTATAATCCTTATAGGTTAAGATAATGATTTGGCTGGTTTTATGGATGAACAGCCAGAAATAGTGCATTTAGTTCAACGATCCAGCTATAGACTATAAGACATGAACTTCCTTTATTCTCCTGGATTTATCTTTGATCAATCGTCTTGGGGGGACCCGAATTGGGGAACTTCCTCTACTAGTGCAAAACCTTGAATTTGGACTTGGGCAAGGTGCTTGGAGGATGTGGCAGGCACATGGTGCGCTTCTGTAGTGAGCTGCTAAAGTTATAAAAAACTTTCATATGGTAAGGCCAGAATCCGTGATTTAAAAAAAAGTCAAAAACAAGTCAAAAAAAGTCAACTGGAAAAGTCAAAGTCAAGAAAAATCAAAGTGAAAAGTCAAAAAATAGTCGAAAAAAAAAGAGTCAACAAACAGTCAACCATAGACCACAGCTCGAAAAAATCAAAAAAATAATCCCAAAAAAAGTCAAAACTGTGGCTCCTTGCCTTGGCGGATTACTGGAGTCAAGAAACAAAAAAACATCAAAAAGAAAGTCAACCATAGACCACAGCTCGAAAAAGTCAGAAAAAGCAAAAAAAGGTTGAAAAAAAGGTCAAAAAAGTAAACAAAAAAAAGTCGAAAAACAAGTCAAAAAAAGGTCAACAAAATGTCAAAAAAGGTCGGATCTGGGCAAATTGACCTTTGTTTTGACTTTCTGAAATTCTCTGATTTGATTCTTTTTTGACTTTGACTTTTGGGATTGACTTTTTTGATTGTTTTTTTCTTTTGTTTAAATTTAGAAAACAGGCTCTTTCCAATGAAAGTTTTTTATAATGCTAAAGTAAAACACATCCCACATGCACGCCACAGATGACAATGGCCACTTTGGCAGCAGTTCTTTTTTGCCTGTCTCAAATCAGCTACAGGGAGGCTTTCAGATGCCCGTGTCTACCCTACGGCACTCTCCACTCATGTGGAGTGTCTTTTGGTTTTCCGGTTGAGGGCGTTTCCGGTCAAGTTCTCATGACGATGATACGGTCTGCATGGGACTTTGGATTGTCAGGCCATGTCATGCACGTCATGTCATGTAGCAGCTAGCAGCTAGCATGAATGATGCTGCCATATATGCCATATATGCCGATCAGTTGGGGTGGTGCCAGGGGGGGTCAATGTAGGCAATATATGGCAGTCCCATGGAGTGTTTGGGTATGAGACCAAATGAAATCCGTTCATCTCAACATTCTTAGATTCCATGCATTCTCACCGCTGGGTTCTTGCATCACCCCTGTTTTTGGCGGGCTAGAAGGAAGACAAGGGAGTCTCGTATAAACCCTAGGGATCCAACTGCCTCCTAAGAAGTTGGTTGGGGTGGGTTCTGGGCCTCTAACCACCTTCTGAGGATATGGTATAAATGAGTTGTTGTTCTATGTTGTTCGGCACGTGCAACACCCATGGCCCATGCAGCTGCAGCTCAGACACATCGACGATGCACGGGGGATCCTTGAGGCGAAATGGCCCCGCCGCGCGGCGGTGTTGCCACCAACCCCCAAACACCCCATGTTTGTACCTATACACCCCTGGTCAACCACCCTGCAGGCCAACCTGGTCTTGTGGTGATGGTGATGTTGGTCGTTTCCCGAATGAGGTGAATCCCCTAACCGGGTGAATCTGTGTGATTTGTCCCCCGGCTGGCGAGTTCGGAGCAGCGAAATCCACGTCAACATGCCGCTTGGGTCATTGGGATATCCTTGGCGCAACGTGCTCGAAGGTCCCACCGAATTCCGTCGTGCGGCCGGGCATTCGTGTTTTGGGGCTCGTGTTTGGTTGGGCATGGCGAACCGGAGGAGGTACGACTGGAGCTGTAGGGTTCATTGTGTTTTTAAGATGTTTTAAACATGTTTCAACCCAAGAACCATTGTTTTACAAAGATTACAAAGGGCTTGAACACCACCAGGAGTCACAGTTGAGTCCGTGGATGTGGCGGTCGGCACGGTCTGGGCACCCGTTGGTTCTCTCTATCCTCCTTCCTTCGGAACCGGCGCCCCGACGGAACCGGCGCCCAGTTGACTCCTGGCGCAGCGTTCGAACCCAGACGCTGAAACCCAGCTCGACTGGTCCCGAACCAAACCCTACCCATAGGGTCCAGGTACCTCCGTACTTCGGATGGTCGAACGGAGGTGAGTTCGTACTTCCAGAGAATGGTCTTACGGGGGGGGTCTGGCAGGACATCCGATTCGGATGGTCCTGGACCCTTAGGGCTAGGGATTGGTTCGGGTCCGGACTCCTACTGAACGGAGGGTCAGGGTCGCGTCTGGGAATTTTCCCAGACACGACCTGTCTGGGACTGCTATAGGACTGCCGATCAATTGACCCCCCTGGCACCACCCCTGGTCGTTTCTCGGCAGTCCTGCAGTCCCATCAGTCGTGTCTGGGATATAAGACGTTCTTGAAAGAAAATCACTTGGGGTGGTGCCAGGGGGGTCAATGTAGGCATATATTCCATAATATTCTATACATGGAGTGTATGGGATTGGAACCACAAAGCATTTAGGGGGCGTAAAGGCGGCGCTGTCGCGCGCCTTCCCTCTAGGCGGCGGTTTTCCCGGGGTCGGCGGATTGCCCACCACTTACGCCCTGATGGTTCAACCACGAAGTCTTGTTCCCATCATGCTACACCCAGAGAGTGTGGGGCCTTGGGGTCCTTCTCTCAACCTTTGTACTGGTATTTCGAGAGTGCTGAAGACCGCCAGGGCGGATGATTTCTTCCCGGATCCATATGATGCCGTGCTGAAGACTGGACGATGGAGGTGGATCACGGAGTGGGCGATCAGGTGGTCGAAACGCCGAAGTGAACCGATAAAAAGCTCTTCGTACTTCGTACCCAGGGAAAGTGGACTGGAGAACCTTGAACAATCCCCCTAGGGCTCCAGTCGTACCTCCTCAGAAGGTGTTTGGACCCTCCTGGCACCCACCCCAGTCCCACCTTCTCAGAAGGTACGACTGGAGCCCTAGGGTCCTTGAAGTCTTTGAATGGGGCAGTGGTTTTGCAACGGAAATCCGCCAGCTGGAGAAATAGTGATGCAACCTTTGTTTAGCAAATGCAATTCCCAGACACTCCATGGGACTGGCATATTTACATAACATTGACTCCTTTTCAACCACCCCTGGCCGTTTCTCGGCAGTCCGTCTGATGGCAGTCCCATCAGTCGTGTTTGGGATTCATGGGCTCTCCAGAACCGGGCAGCTTTTGTTGTGCATTTCGTTGCTGTTTTTGGGTCGACACGACGGATGGGGGCATATTTCGATGGGAGGGGTGGGCGAACGGAGGTAGATATGTCAGTCCGATGGATGGTTTGGGTGGTATATACCCAGACACGGCCTGTCTGGGATGTGTAAAGATTTGGAACAGTGAAGAACTAAACATCGTCCCCAACTGGCGCATGATTTCGGGGCATCCTTGAACCGAGATTCCAATGGTCGAAGTCCCGGAATCGTGCAACTTGTGCAACTTATGCAACTTGTGCAACTGGTGCTTCTTGAGGGGGTCCAAGGTTCCAACAAAAAGAGGTCTTGGTTCTCATGTGTTGGTGAAGCACTGTCACCCAGGAAAAGTACAGTGGATCACCTGCCCCCCCTTTGTGGGAGTGGTTTTAGTGACTTGTCGCCCACTAAGCAGCAACAGGTAGTTGATGGTCGAACAGATCGAAACGATTAACCGTCATTTTTTGCTTCGTGAAACCTTAAGGAGTCGGACGATGTAGTACGAAGGTCAACAACAACTATATACTTACCCTAAGGATCCACACCCTCTAGTTCGCAAGGGGGACTGGTTCGGGGCCCCAGGGCCCCTTGTGAACTAGAGGGTTCGACCCCGACCCCCATGGAGGTTCGGACTCGGATTCTTAGGGTAATTAAGATCTTCAAGTTAACTTGCCACATCGGAGAAAGCTGCTTGGCTCAGCTTGCGGCTGTGGAACTACAGAGCTTGTTATAGTTACTACCCTCGGTCTTTTCTTGAGGGTGGTTGAACCCATAACAGGCCCTAACAGGTACAAAGAGTTTTTAGCGAGTCTGACTGAGATAGAAACCTCTGGATTGGTTGGCTCTTCCTCTCAACGCGGAGTCGGAAGGCCAGGTCGGGTCCCTGGTCCCAAACTGCGAGTCTTCCGGCTTCATCGAAGGGTTCCGAGTTCCGACTGGGACTCGCATGTCCGAGATGGCAGTCCCATGGAATGGACGTGTATGGGAGATCGGACCTCAATCCAGTGACTATTCCCTACAAGTCCAAAGATCCAGCAAAAACCTGGTCTTTTATGGTCTTTTACCTCCTTGAGTCTTGGTTTTGCATGACCATCTCCAGTAAAATGAGGTCTTTGACTTGTAGGGATTGGTCAAGAAGCGCGGCAGATCCGCTATCCTGTTTCAGGGCCCAGATTCTTAGGGGATGTCAAATAACCCAGACACGACTGATGGGACTGGCATATGACTTTGCTGATCAGGCCAGGGCTGCTTGACCCTTGGTCAGAGTCAAATGTATGTTTCAGTCCCAGACAGGTCATCGTCAGGTTTATCCATCTTCATCCATCTTCTAGGTACTGTTTTTTGGACACAAACGCAAGAAAAGATCCGACCGCATTGTCAGGTCAGGTCAGACAGGTGGTGTCAGCTCTGTCTTTTCGTTGTGCCCAAAGAACACAGTATTGCGTTCGTTCCTCCCTTCAAAAAACAAGTACGCGCCGCCCAATGCCGCCCGTTGCGCACGCCCAACGCGTCGCTTCTGGGAGGCGCTTGCGCGTGCTGGGAAGCGGCGGTTTAGCGGCGTCTCGGCGGCGGAGGCGGTCGCCCGCGGCCGTGGCAGTTGAGCCGTGGCGCTGTTGTGCCCCACCTTTCATGGTCTGCCTATATACACTGTCCAGAACCATTCCCTCCAGCGCAAGGAAACGCCATAGAGACTTTCAACTTTTCAATCTTGACATAGTGTTTAACCACCGCTGG